TTACGCCTTGTTTTTTTTGGGGGGGGGGGGGAAGATAGCACAAGAAGCAAGTAACAACCTGCAGGTACAGAGCTACAACTGTAAGGAGTTGTAGCTTTAGTTTCCCCAGTTTGGTCTACGTGCCCATTATAATTTCTTCTGGCTAGTATTAATTTTGACAAAGTAAAAGACAATACTGTGTGATCCAATTGGTAATTTCAATTTCTGAAATGGGGCAATCCAAAAACAAGTGATAATTTTTAAATATAAAGGCTAAAAATATAGTGATGCTTACCAGAACCCCTTTAGTACTTTGAAAGAACCCTGCTTTATTGAGTTGCAAAAATTATCGACAGGAGAGAATGAAATACTCCTATACTGGGTCCCAGCAATTAGCTGGAGAAGAGGACAGCTAAGGGCTATGTAGCAAATATCAGTAGAGACTCATTTGCTCATCAGTGTTTGCACGGCCTCACTGGGTTTGAATTCTTTCCCCTGAAATGATGGCATGCTAGTCTGCCCAGCTATCTTTAGTTCTTTAATGAGATCACTTGGACAATTAGTCGCTCGAAGCTCAGTGAAGTCTGCAAGGGACTAGCCGAAGACTGCTGTTGCACCATATGCTCTCTCCTGTGTTTTTCTCTCTAATAATTAGAGCTGCACATGCAAATAAAGGGCCAACAAATCCTTCCCGGCTCAGGACATGCAGGTAAATGAAAGCCTGACAGTGGAGGTGATTTTAAGTTTCAGGCTAGAGTTTGATTAGGGTAATACTGAGGAGGGGTATGACATGCTCTCACATTTTATATGGGCAATTTGCTGGTCCAGTAAAGGGGCTTATGAGGCTGCCGAAGTATAGTCAGCCACCGAGGTATATTCCTCCACACCCCACCTTACGACCTGGCTCACTTTCAGTCCCCGACTCTCCCTCTCACAAGAGGATGAAACGCAAGGGACCTGTTTGTGCTGCCAGCGCCGAGGGGAGGCCCCTTGTCGTGCGGAGCCGCGAGCGCTTTCTCACCCAGCTTGCAAACCACTCTTTGGTTGTCAGACGCAGCTCCTGTCCTCGTAACTGGTGTGGTGACTGCTGGCCAGCCCAGCAGCCCGCGTATGCTGGGGGGACCGGCCAGCGAGGGCTGGCAGCACCCGTCCTGCCGCAGCGCCCGCACAAGTCTCCCCGCACCCTGGGAAGGGAGGTCGAGCTGCGGGGGGAGCGGACGGCACGGACCATGGCCTGTAGGCCAAGCGTGGAGTCAGGCCAGCAGAGAGTGACTCGGGCCGCTCGGCTCCATTTTGGGAGCGGCCATCAAAGGCAAGGAGGAGATGGCATCTGGGATGTGGGGCTTGTGCTCGGCTGGAAGTCACAGCAGAGCTGCTTAACAAAGGTGGGGAAGGGTCTGGAGCACAAGTCTGATGGGGAGCGGCTGAGGGAGCTGGGGGGGTTGATCTG